ATGCCCTTGTACTGTTCACCATGTAAGAACTTATTCACTATGTAAGAATTCGTTCTCCATGTAAGAACTTGTTCGTTATGCTTCAGAAGATTGGAGACTGACAAGAATTAGGCTTGAGATGGATTAATGATTGTGCATTGAGCATTGACCCCCCTATACAGAATTTTATCGTTGTTAACAACCATTTGATCAATAAATATGAGAGATGCCCTCTTAAAAAAAAAATGAATCCAGATGGTCTTATACATAAAAACAAATCTCAATGTTATATACATATGGGATTTAAAAGTTAATTCTGCTGCAGCTGCCGCAATCACAATTGTAATCAATGTGTTTGTTTCTCCCTCAATACTGTTTCTCAAAGCAAGAACTTGTTAGAAATTCAAATTCTCAGGCCCTGCCCCAGACCTCCTGAATCAGAAACTCTGGGGTTAAGGGCCAGTAGTCTGTTTTTACAAGTCTTCCAGGTACACACTCAAGTTTGAGGACCAGGGATTAAGACCAGTAGCACAAGTCTTGGCCAGTGAGGCTGCTATAAGCATTTTCTTACCAGACAGTGTCCTGTTGTAGCTGTACTGTTTGTTCTAGTTCTTAATTTGTCAGCTTGGAACACCTGTGAATTATTACTAAGAAGAAAAAGAAAATGTGTCATTTAAAACTTGCTACAAAATTTTTTAAAAGAAATAAGATTTCAAATACTTAAACAGCAGTGCTATTAATGTAAATGGCTTCTTCATGGAGACAGCCATGCAGATGTAGAAATTAAAAAACACACACATGCACACACACATTAAACAAAGCCTTAGTTGGCTGAGCCTACACAAGTGTCCATGTAAGGTAAGGAATTCTCAAGCATAACACTTTACTGCTAATCATGCTACCAAGAGTAAGTGTAAATTATTGTGGCCTCGGAAATACATCATTTTGTGTAAACCTGTAATTGATTTAAATTTATGATTGGAGCTACAATGTGTTACTAACAATTCCATCTCAGCTTCAAAATTTTCACATGCCAACAGGGATAATCAGTAACAGGGGTCGACAGAACTGACATTTCCATAGATATGTTTTGTTTGGCCTACTTGGTGTTAAAGACGTTTTTGAATTAGTCGCACACACTTGAAACACTGACAGATTTCACATAAAGAATCCAGATTCCAGACGCCCGGCTTCTATTGAACATTTGCAAGATGGTGCTACAACTGGGCCACATTCCCACATGGCAACAACAAACTAAAGCTGAGCAGCCACTGTCCCCTGAAGATGGGGCTGTCTCCTCAGCTTTGACAGTGCCCACCCAGCTGTCCCCAGCCCTGTTTGAGCTTGGGACCCTAAAGAAGTCGTCTTTTCCTCTTTATGTCATTTAAGACTCACAAGTTGCAAACAGAATACAGAGGGTTCCCATGGACGTTTCATCCAGGCTTTCCCAATGACAGTAAGAAGTCATCTTTAACATTTTCTTTCTGGCCACCTATATCCAGTCAGGTGCCAGGTCTTTTAGATTTCACCTCTGTGATCTCTCTTATATTCACCTTATTCTTTTCGGGCTTCTAGCCACAAAACCAATTGAAAGCCTTTTTGCTTTTCCACAGACTCTGCAATAGTTTAGTTGGTCACCTCCCCTCTGTTCTCTCCCTATTGCAATGTTTGACAGGCAGATCACCTTCCTAAAAAACAGCTTGCTCTCCTGCTCACAATTTCAGTAACTCTCTTCATACTCTGCAGAATTCAGTTCCATTCTTCTCTCTGACATTCAAAGCCCTCCCCCGTTAAGCTCTATACTTTTGGATTTTATGGGATAGTAAACAATTTCAGAACAAAATCTTGGAACAATCATACATTTGCTGCCATTTTCTTTTGCCAAGTAAGGTCATTAAAAAAAAATTGGGGGGAGTCTAGTAAACATAATGTTGCCCATGTAATTGTAGATTAATGATACCAAAAATATATATATATATCACCACCTCCCAACACCATCATTTCATTTATAAAAGGTCATTTTGGTATTTGAAAAAATAAGGTCTAACAATCTCAGAATAAAGTACAATCTTGCCCAGGAAAGGATGACTGGCAACTTCATAACAATATATTTACGTATGCTGCACCGAACTTTTTCAAAGTCCATGGACTAGTGAAATGCCACTTGTAATCAGCACTGGTCAGGAGATCCACGCTTGGGAGCCAGTGATCCAAAGCTGACTAACTCTCCAGGATACACCTATGCTTTTCTGCCTCCGAGCCTGCTCTGTACACTTGGAATGCTGTTCCAGCTCTTTAATCCCATCTTCCAGGCTGCATCCTATCAATCCATTAGCACCCATCTCAAATGCCAACACTCCAAGAACTTTTACCTTATCCCTCGCCAATCCCCCTGTCATTTCTCACTCCCTTAGAATTTCCCTAGGACTTTCTTTCTCTCCGTGAGCACAGATCTTACTCTACCATACATTTAAGTCTTTTCAATAGAGTAGATCTTACTCTACCATACATTCAAGTCTTATTAAAAGCTGAGCCTTGAGATACATCTTTGTAGCATGGTAATTTGCATGTAACAGGTAGTAACTCAATATTTTATGAGGATGTATGTATGGGTTTAATTTCTACTTCTTTTCCCAGTCATTTTCCCCATACGAGAACAGAAATATATCCTGTCAATTTTATTTAATAAGACCATAACTGAAAGAAACCATTGAGGCAGCATAAACTTCAATTGGTATGAGTCACTCAACATTAATTCATAAAATCCTAGGTGGTATCTACAACTGAGTTAAATGCTACTTACAACTTGGAAAAAAGTGAAGATAATACAACTAGATAGATGTTCAATGCTCCACATCAAATGATCAGTAAGCTGTTCTGTTTAAACTACAGTTTATGTCAGTGATATTCCCAAAGCAATCATTCTTCATGGCCACTATTCTCCCAGGATCGTAAGAGTTCAATAAACCAGATGATTGGCAAGCTTTTTCTGCAAAGGGCCAGATAGTAAATATTTTGGGCTTTGTCGGCCTTACAATCTCTGCTGCAATTACTTTGCCATTGTAGTGGGAAAGAGGCCATGTTCCAATAAGTAAACAAACGGGGTTACCATGTTCCAATAAAACAATTTACAAAACCAAGTGGTGGGCTGGATTTGGCTCCAGGGCAGTAGTTGGGTATATAAAGTTATTGACACCGGTAGTAAAGTCAGCCAACTTAGAAGGCTAACGAGTAAAAAGAACTAAGAGGTTCAAAACTTTTAACATTGGTATTTTTATTAATTCAAGATGTATACAAAATAGTGCAGGGACTTCTTAAAAACAGTAATAGTTGTATTAAAGAGTTAACATTTAAGGAACAAACCCTGCAAATGCTGGTGCAAAAGAGATTGAGAGTCTTTATATGCAAGAAGCATCAAGCAAAATTGGAAAATTACTTGAAAATGCAACAATATTTAGTGAGCTGTGAAAGAGGCACTGCAACAAGTAGTAGAGGCCCAATAAAGGGAAAGTGAGCAGTGTGCATATGCAGCTGAGAAGAACTGAGGAGAATATGAACTTAAATAAGGGTCAGGATAATTCTACTCTAAACTTTTCTTGCTTCAGTGTAACTTCTCTGGCTATATCCTAAATTTGCCACAACAGCACAAATATGCTCTCAGGGAATCATATGGACAAGTTCCGTGTTCCAGGCATGTCATACATCATTCCTGTGTTACATCTTTTTGATTAACAAGAGTGCCTGGACTTGGTCTGCTTTGTGGTTTCTTTATCTTTAACTCCTACTAGATAAGTATAAAATTGACCCTCCCTGTTCTGTACCAGTTTCACTTCATGCCTCAGGACCTTAAGCTATGGAACTGGACACATAAAAATTTCAAATCCTTTGCAGAACCAAGCAAAGTGTGGAGGGATCACGGTGATCACTCTCTTTGCTTTCAAGACTTTGGGGATTGGGGAACGGGGCCTGTCTGCCCGGCCCTCCCCAACACTTAATGTATTAAACAGGATCCATGGTGTTCCTTCAAGTATATACCCCCCATCATTTGCAACTTGTTTTTTCATTTCATGAAGGCTTCCAACAAAACCAACATTCTCCCCAAGGGTATTCTTCTACTAGCAGAGTGGGTCCATAACAATTCATGTATTCACACAACAGGGTTAGACTAAAATCCTGAAACGTTTTTGTTCTCAGCACAACATGCAAAACCCCTACTTTTATTTTTCTATCTGCCTTTTAATTAAAACAGGTAATGTATTATTTTTTGGTCAATCTTAGTTTGCTTTTCATTTGTTGACAATATATTCTCCCTTACTGCAAATGACCAGAAAGCTGCATTTCTTTAGAGTTAATCAGCTTAGCTGATGTCGACTCTTGGTGGACAAAGCACTGCCTTAGGAGTCAGGAGACACAGGTTCCTTGTACTGGTTCTGCTACTATGTCATTTTGGAGATTTATAAGGCTCACTTTCCTCATATGTTAAACAAAGGGGGTAGATCTGGTCTCTGAGTTCACTTCTAACAGTGTGATTTACCACTATCAATTAGTATGAAGCCAGAAAAACAGGAGGAAAAAAGTTTATAACATTTGTAGTGAATGCATTTCTCAGACATTTTTACAATACTGATAAAACTTTATGATACTGGAATGTGAGATGCAAGATCTCACTTTAAAATTCTAAGAAATAATAAGCAACAGTCATGCCAGACCTTTGGATATGTTCAGGAAGTACTGTTGACCATCAGTGTTTCTAAATCTTATCTTTGTCATTATCAGCCCTCTAAGGAGCTTTTCTTAGTCATTCTTCCCTGCTAATAGCTCTCTCCTGAAAATTCCCATGAAACTTGAATACGTGTATCTGTGCTTTACACATAAAATGCGTAGGATTTTTTGCAAAACCCCCAAGGAACAAGTTAGGGCAATACTGGCCATTGATGATGCAAAATTTAGATCACATTTCTGTGGTACCTAAACTTTTTGTTAAAATAAAAACCAGGTGTAAAACAGGCCCAAGCTTATTTACTTGACAGTTTCCATTTGCTGGAGGTGAAGGTCAGAGGTGACAAAGCAGAGAGAATGACAAAAATTACAGTCATCACAAAAGGTTTGGAGGCAAGGGTGAGAGTGCTTGGTTTCTTCAAAGGAATGGGTAAGAGTTGGGGTGAAGTTAGAAAAAGTTGTGCTCCACACCAATTGGTAGCTGCTTTCAGGTTCTGGTGGACCGTCAGTAGAGGACGTTCAGGTTCCCTCCAGCAGCCAGCGCCCCCCCCCGCCCCCCCGCCCCCGCCAGGCTGAGGGTGTGATCTCTGGGCTCCAGGAACACGGGAGAATGAATACCTGCAGAACCTTGATGAGTAAAGGGATGGGAACGCTGTCGGAAGTCACTTTCTCCAGCTCTTGCCGCCCACCCCACCCCTGCTTGCCTCTTCCAGTTTCTCAGTCCTGCTCACCCAAGCTCATTGATCAAGAGGACGCTGTTGGATCTTCTCAGGATATTGCCGTCTGTGGTGGTGGAATTCGGCAGCAGCTCCAAGTCTAATTCCATTTTCTCCTGTGCCAGGTCCATGTCGGGGAAGAAGCCACTGCTTAGTTCGAAGTTCCCGAGGTTTCTGACTCCAGTTCACATAAATTCAACTCGACTTGGTGACGAGATGATGTAGGGAGAGAGGAAAAGGGGAAAAAGAGAAAAGAGGAGGAAGCTTTTAGATGAGTGGAGTGCTCTCCTTGGCAGCCCTACCATCCCTAACATCAGAGGACACAAAGTGGGACTGGGCTGGCCCCGAACCTCCTACTCCACAAATTCGGGGATCCCACCTCTGAGATTCTCCACCTCCAAGCCTATATTGAAAGTGGGAAATTTATCTTGGTCACCTCCGCGAATCCTTCTCCTTTTTCTCTCTTAGCCAAAGCAACCGCTGGTAAGCCTTCCCTGATAAAATAGAAACTACAACCTGCCTCCTTCAGGAATCAGAACACCTCCCCTCTGAGCATGCGCCCCGTGTCCAGCTTGCCAACTCAGGCTTATTATGTACACAGTGATTGTTGCGCAAGCCTTCGCACGCTTTGCTAGGGGCGCACGCGCAAAGAAACCCCCCGACCCCCACCCAACTGGGTCCTCCCTTCTCTCTTCGGAATGCAGATTCACTAAAGATGTCTCTGTTGTCTGTTAACCCAAAAATGGTTTTTGTTAACTATTATTTGGAAAGAAATGGTGGGCAGAAGTATATGGTGGATGGGGGCGCCATCCTTTCTGCCCTATGTCTAATACTGAATTTTCTGTTTTGCTTAGCCCGTTTGGTCAGCGTTATGACTGAGACAACAAGCTTGTTACCACACACATGAGGAATGCTTCCATCCTGGTACAACAGACAGACTACACCTTTGTAATTTTAAAACGCTAAAGCCTGGTTAAGAAACCCCAAACCATTCCTAAGTACTTAGAGGCTACCTGCTCCCAAAGGGTTTTGGTAAAGCGCTAACCCAACTCAATCAGTTGCGTGCAGGCAAATAATTGTTTTCCATGTGGTTGCATTTTATTTTTTCTATAATTGTACTATGTATTTTTTACACTAAATAAAATCTAGCCCTTCAAAGCTATTCATCTAAGAAAAAGACTTGAGTTAAAGCAGTAAGGCTTGTTTTCTTAAAACAAATATCTCAGAATTTACTATCCATCCAAATCAGTGTTTCCATTGAACAATACTATCATGGCTCAAAATATTTTAAGAACTGATCTTTTAGAATTTTTTACCACCAGTTAATGAGCCACAGTGAGTTCTGAAACCTGAACTCCACGTTATTAAATTTTGTAAAATCCCACATTTTAGGAACCATATAGGAACTGAACTGGCAGAGAAGGCAAGTGAAACTACTGAAATGAGTTATTAATTAAAATAGTCATATAATGGTGCATCATTTTACAGTTGAAAAAATACTTTGACATATCTGAATTCATGCAATCATTAACCCTACTCAGGTAATCAGTGGTGAACTTAAAATAATGGGATTATCTTGAAATGGTTCATGACAAGTTATGGCATGAAAGATCATAATCATTATTCATTCTAAAAATAGAATAAGAAAAGCTTACTTATATTACGCAGAATTAAGTTACCTAAATCCCAAACGTGAAGACAATTTGGAGTCTCCATTCCTGATATAAGACAGGTTAACAATAACTACCATTTTGGGGGCACTGCGTGCCAGGTACTGTACTACACACTTTAAATACGTGATCACATTTAAGGCTTACAATAACTCTGTGAAATAGGCATCATCACCACACCCATTTTTCAAAGGAGTAAACCAGAGCCCAGAGAGCTTACTCAAATGACAAGTACTAACTGGCAAAGCCAAGATGCCACTGCTCCTCTATTTAAGTCAAAAGACAGGGTGCCTCCAGATATTACTCTGGACACTATTTCTGTAGTCATAAGCACTTGATAAATACTTACTAAATTATTTTATGGATAAAGGCAGGCTTAAAGAAAGAATTCTGTATACTATAGTGGCAAGCACATTTAAAGAAATTATTTTTCCTGCTTCCCATTTCTATCCACCAGCAGATTATTACATCAACGTAGCTGTGTTTCATGATCAGCTCTTGCTGTTCCATACTCATTAAACCATGCTCTCTGATCACTGGTTTGCTTAGAGTTTGACAATTAGGCTCCTCCTTTTTGTAAGTCCCAGTCTACCGCCCTCTGCCCAGGCCTCTCACCTATAAAAGGTGTTCCACGAACACATCATAATCAGACCTTTGTTTTACCAGTTGTCATGGCAACTTTTAAGCAACATGCTAAACCTTTAGTTACCAAAAGACAAGTCAAATACAAGTTCACAAACCACAAACACCCCAAAAGATTTACATGAAGGGTAAAAGAAAGGAGGCAAGAATAATATGAATAAAACCTGGCAATGATGGCCAAGGTAGCATCTGTTTTCTCAGACATCCTTGTGTTTCTTCTAGTTGTTAAAATCCTGAAAGTTAGGGATTCTACTAAATTGTTTGATTTATCAGAGTTAGGGATTATGCCAAATGGTCAACAAATTGTTTAGTAGCTATTGGGAAAATAGAATGTGCTATAATTATCTGAGCAGATAGGGGGTGTGGGTTGCTGACACCTTGAGATATAAAGATAACATAAATTGATCAAACACAGAGCTTGAGTTTCTAATCCAGCTGACAGAGTATAGACAATTTAAAGGAAACTATCCAAAAGTGCTTTAAAAACTCGTATCACAGCAGAAAACAAAAACAGGAATAAAACGACTATTGGGCTTGGCAAATTTAACATGGGACAACTGAATTGAAGAGGCAGGTAAAACTACTTTTGCTAAATCTTGAAACGAACTTGATAATTGTTAAATTTCCTGTACTTTCTAGGTATGTATAATTAACATAATGAAATGACCATCTTCTTCCCAGGGTCATTCAAGTGGGGGAGAACTGAGTTACTATTTCTAAAGCTCTTAGAATAGTGCCTAACACACAGTAACTGCTATGCATGTGTTTGTTAAATAAAATAAATAATTCCAGGTTTCACATATGCCGAATACTGATTGTTAGGGTCTCCACAAATCTTAGGAAGAAAAGAAAATTCTGGTTTTGTTACTTGGTCTTCAGGACGTTTTCTAATATCGTTGAACCCAAGTGTTTGTAAAATGGAGGTGAGTGCTTCTCACTAGTCATATGAACTCTCATTTGATTCTCTTTGTTTTTACATCATTCCCTTGTCTTTTACACTTACCTTTGGTCTAGGGCATCCAAATCGGTGACCTGAAAAAGAAATCGGCCACTCCAGACAAAACCCAACAAAATCCAGATTTAAGAAATGATTGGGAATCACAGAGGTAAGAAATTGGGAACAAAAGAATCGCGGAAACCACGTTATTATTTTTCTTGAATATCGGCGAAACGCCTCTGGAAAGATGATGCTCCAATGTCTCCGAACTATTGGTTCTTTTCAAAATCGGGCGCCAGGGTCTCCCGGCCAATGCTGTGGAGGAAGGCGCGCCTCCGCTACCCCAGGAAACGCTCCTCCCCTTTGGGAGGAGGTTTGCAGGGCGGGGCTCCCACGCATGCTCCATGCCCGCAGGCCCATCGGCGCGGCCGCCGGGCGCGTGCGCAGAACCCGATGGGTGCCCGCACGCGGAAGATCTGGCCCCGCGGAGGTTCCCCTCTTTTGAAACGTGGGAGGCGGAAGAGGCGGCAGGTTGTAGATTTTGCTCTTGGCCCCAAGGGGTTCCCCTGGGCCATTAGAACCCAAGAGAGAAAGCAGAGGCACCGCGTGGGCGGCCGAGGGGCCGAACCCCCGACCTGTCCTCCAGGAGAGTTGGGAGTAGGAGGGGAGAAGTACCGAACACAGGGCTGAGGAGCCTCCGGGACCGAGTCCCGGAGCATGGGGGCCTGGACCGGGTTCCTGAGCATGGGGAGCTGGAGCCGCCGAGGCCGCCCGGCCGGGCCCAGCCTGTCTGTTAGCTCCTCGGAGCCAGCTTTGCCAGGGCAGCCGCGTTGTCTGTAGCCAGGCCCCGCTTGAGGTCGTCGGCCGAAAGATAGCAGCATGGGTTTCGCCGCTGCCTAGCTTCCTCCGCCTCCTTCCCTTCTCCCTGCCCTCCTCCTCCTTCGTCTCTCATCTTCCCCGTACGTCGTCCTTCTTTTCCTTCCTTGTGCTCCTCTTCCCTCCCCTCTGTCCTCTTTCTTTCCCCCTTCTGTCTTCCTGCTTTTCCCTTCTTGCTCTTTTACGCTCCTCTTCTGTCCCTCTCTTTCCTCTGTCCTACCTCCACCACCACCTCTCCTTTCTTCCTGTCATCCTCCCTTCCTCATCCTCATCCTCCTTCCCTCCTCGTCCTGAATCTCCGGCCTTTCTCTGCCCCTTAGCCCCCGCCCCCAAGCTTCCGCCCCTTAGCCCCCGCCCCCAACTGCCAGTCCCCAGCAGCTCAGTCCTGCAGTGAGTCTTGGGAGTCCACAGCTAAGCACCGGGAGCTGAGAGCACTGCCCGCTGTGCCTGCCTGCGACGCTCTCACATGGCTCAGGAGAAAATGGAGCTGGACTTTGAGCCTGACACATCTGATGGGGGCATCCTGAGGAGATCTAGCAGCGCTCCCCTGATCCATGGGCTCAGGTGAGCAGCGTTGGGGAGGATGGAGTATGGGATTCAGGGACTGTTCAATCCCCTACAAGCAGTCTTCCCGAAAGTGAGAGTTGGAGCTCATTTGGACTTTCTAAATTGAGGGGGTGGGACTTGTCTGCCTGACAGTGACTTGGGTGCCAAGGTGGAGTGAAAGTTTGACTCCAAACTCTGGGCAATGAGGGGAAAACTCAGTCCTCTCTACCTGGGGCTCTGTTGGCCCACTCTAAAAGAAACTTAAAGAAGCTTCTGCTTTTCTAACAAGTTGCTTGGCCTGCCTAATTTACACCACCGAATGTCATACTGAAGCCCCTGGAACTAGACTTGCAACTTGACACCTCTCTCTAAGAGCTGCTATTTCTAAGCTTAGTTTAGGAATCCTGGCATTAACAGAGGTTTACTTTAACAAATCACAATTTATCTAATAACTTGTAATGAAGTGGTGTGTTCATGTCTTATCAAGTGATTTGGATTTGTTGTAATGTTTTCAGATTCTAAACCTTCCTGAAATGCATTCCAGTGAATAAAAAAAGAAGGGTGGCATGTAGCGTAGGTCAGTGAAAACATAGGTTTTAGAAAACAATGGAAAGAATCCACTCTTGAATTTTAGTGGTAAGGTCTTGTGTTTTCATGTGAATAAGTCACCAGAGGGTCTATTTTAAAGTAGAATCTTGTGATAGTGAAGATTAGGTTGGCAGACCTCCTGAGCCTATTACATTTCACTTTTATCAGTAGACAGTTCATCTTAGGTGTACAGCCAGTTTTTGAGACCCTGTAGAAATGGAATTAGTCCAAAAAAGGGGATGGGAGTAGAGTTGGCCAAAAACATTAATCAAGCACAGTAAAGGCAAAAAGGTAATCCTTGTCTATCAAACTGATTATAATATCCATATTTTTGGGAAAAAACAGATTTGCTTTTTTTCTTTCATTGAATTCTGAAATTGAGGGAATGAGTCTTTGCTTTCCTAATGCTGTTCTCTCCTCTACATTTATTTTTGATACTATAGGAATAAACTGGTCTTTCTGGGCTATCTTTTTAAATCTGGTAAGCAAGCATTTCCTAGGGACTAGGGTGATCCTGTTGACCTGCATTTAGACTGTTGTGGAAATAACATGCTGTTTTTTGAATCACAATTTCAGTAGTTTACTTGAAAGGTAGCATGATGTGACAGAAGAGGGGATGAGAAGAGCAGGCCTAGTCCCAATTTTCTCTGGCTATGATCATAAATGAGTCACTTCTCCTTTCTGAGTCTCTGTTTTCTCATTTAAAATTTAGGAGAGCTGGATTAGGTGATTTCAGTGGTCCCTTGAAGCCCAACCCAGTTCAATCCTGAAAATCCTCTTGACCTCTTAACTGTGGGCACAGCCCTCTGCTAGGCACTGCAGGGATGTTACAGAAAGATGAACAAAACACCTCCATCAAGGGGTTTAAGACACACACACACACACACACACATTTTAATAAAGGGTAAAGTTGGTGTCTCGAGAAGCATCTAATTTCCCATTGTGTTCTTTGGGTTCAAAGGAGGGAATGATTGCATTAGGTTGTGGAAGAAAGAGAGGTTTCATGGAAGGCGTGGCATTAAGATGGGTGTTGAAGGAGACAAAGGATTTTGACAGATGGTGGTTGGAGGGAGACATTTGAGGCAGAAGGGACCACATCAGCAAAACTCCAGGTATGTTTATTTAGTTGAACAGTGGGGTTCAAAAGTAGACCGTGTGTGTAGGGCAATACTGGGAGGTGTGCTGATTGGGCTCTGCAGCTCCTCTCACATGATGGCACACACAGGAAGCAGTCACATTTTTAGGTCCTCTGGGGTAAACACAGGAGGTTGCTCGTGTCTGGTGGTAACTGGTTTGGAGGTGTGAGCTCTGACCAGAAGCAGCTGGAGGCAGCCAGTCTGGAGCTCCGCCCCATATCTCCTAGCTGCCCCCCAACCCCTGAGGAGGTCAGTATCACAGCAAACTGCTTGGAATCTCTGAAGAGGCTCTCAAGAGGAGGGTGAGGAGTTTATTCATTGTATGAAATGAAGAGCCATCAAAGATTTCATTGTTAATTAGAGAATTGGCATTAATATGGATGAAGGCCATCTTAAATGAGAAGACACTGATCATTCTATTTTTATTTTTAGTGACCTTTCACAGGTTTTTCAACCGTACACATTTAGAACTCGGAGGAATAGTACAACAATTATGAGCCGTCACAGCCTGGTAAGTAGAGAAGTAAGTATCCTTAGTGGCATGGATTGGGGAAAACACCTTCAAATCTAGTTCTTTCTTGAGATGATGTACTGTGCACAGTTGTTTGCAAAAGAAGATGATTATTTTACGCATCTTGTTTATGGCAATTTTCAGCTTTTGGTGCAAAAAGGAGAGCTGGTTATATTTTTTCTTGGCTGTGAGACTTTGTATTTTTAAAACTTCATTCATTTTTGTCACTACGTGGTTGTGTTTTGTGCATTATGATTAAGGTAAGTCAGGATTAACTTCTGATGAGAACTGAAAAGAGTGGTCTTTATTTGTCCTAGCATGCAAAAATCACTGAAACGGCAGCAGAGGGTTTATTTTTGACAGTCATCTGTTGGACAGTGCTGTTTATCCAAAGTACAAAACTCCTTTAAAATGCTTGTATTCATATTCTTGGTAGAGTTGGCGATTGTGACTTTTTTATATAGCCAGAGCTGTTGCACTTCACCTTGTTAGTTGATTGCATTGGGAGGAATTATGATGTGGTTTTATATATCTGAGATGTAAGCAAACAGCAGACCTCTAAATGGCTGAACTAGATTTCCATAGTCTCTACATAAAAGTTCATCAGTTTATTTATAGAAGAGCCTCTCTGACCTCTGAATCATCTAAAATTTATGCACAGTTACAATAAGCTTCCAACCCAGTAGTGTGTGAGAAGCAGCAAATAAGAAGAGGTACATTAAGAAAAAGGTATGCTCATGGCTGTTAACAATGGAGGAGATGGGAAACAAAAGCAGACAGGTTTTTTTTTTAAATTTTGATATCATTAATGTACAATTACTTGAACAACATTATGGTTACTAGACTCCCCCCATTATCAAGTCCCCCCTACAGTCACTGTCCATCAGTGTAGTAAGATGCTATAGAATCATTACTTGTCTTCTCTGTATATACTGCCTTCCCTGTGCCCCCCCCAGTACATTATGTGTGCTAATCGTAATGCTCCATTTCCCCCCTTATCCCTCCCTTCCCACCCACCCTCCCCAGTCCCTTTCCCCTTGGTAACTGTTAGTCCATTCTTGGGGTCTGTGGGTCAAGCAGACAGGTTTTTAAGAAATTAGTCTGAGGCCTAGTATAAGGGCTTAGAGCCTGTTAATAGACCACAAGGGTGTCACTGGCATAGAACTATAATGATGTTCTTAAGGATACCTGGAGCATTAACCTTTCCTTAAATTCTAGTAATACCTACACTTGTATGATATTTTACATGTTGCAAAGTACTTTCACACATTTAATTCTCATGGCGACCCCTATGAAGTAGGCAGGGCAAAAGGTTGTTTTTCCCCAAAAAAAAGAGGTAGCAGCTAAAACTCAGCTGATATGACTTGCTCAGAATCACACAATTAGTACATGGCAGAGCTGGGATTAGAATTGAGATCTTCCAGTGCCATTCTCTTTGGTAAAATCTGTTTAAGAAAGGGGAAAAATAGGACACTTTTAAGAAAGATTTCCTGCTAAAGTGGCTAAACATACTTAAAGGGGAAAATGTTAGCTATCTGGAGGTTTGATTCACTTCACCTTCTTCCTCTGAGGATACTGGAAACTATACTTACTTTTGCTGTGTAAACGAAAAACACTTCTACACGTTAATACAGCTGTGTTCCTGTTATCAAATGGCATAGCAAGGAAGGGAAAATGAATCTGCCTCTCTATACTTTGCTTTCTTCTAAGATGGGAAGATTCTTATCAGCTCTGTCTAGGCTTATCTCTCACTGCTCCCTGACAAATACCCTCTGCTCTATCTGCACTAAAACACCTGGTTTGCTAAAGGGGTCATGTTGATTCACTCTGCTGGTCTTTAGTCTTTATGCTGTCTTTCACCACATCCTGTTCTCCTTTCTAGCTTTCCAGTTTGGGAAGCTTTCCACAGCACCCTTTGTGTACTTCTGTCATCATCTTGACTGCACCATATACAATATAGCACAGTGTACTCTATACATCTTAATACACTTATGTGTGTCCTGTGTTAACCTGCAAAAAGTAGGATGTTGGTGAATGAAATAGAAAGGCAGGACCTGATGAAAGACATCCAGAAGTCGGATCTTCATGATTTAACAACTGATTAGCTCTAAAGACAGGGAGGAGGAGGACTCAAAGTGACTGAAATTTTATTTCTTGGTGACCAGGGGAAAAGTATTGCCTTTATTATGAATAGGGAAATTGAGAGGAACTGGTCGTTTGCAGGGCCGGAAGATAAATTCTGTCTGGGCATGTTGGGTTCCAGGGGCCACTGGCCCCATGCTGCACTCTAAAAGCGATGTTCTAAATCTTTTTAAAAACTACAAGCTTCCTATCTTACCACCTTTCACTCTCAGCAGATGACCCTCCTCACTTCCCAGAGAAGACAGACACTCATCTTGTATAAACGTCAGCTTTCTTCTCCTCGAAGTGTCTTTACCTTCACATGTGTTCTAACGGTTCCTACGTTTTCTGACTCTCTTGTCACTTTGCTTCATCTGTTGTCTCCTGTCGTGTCTTCAGTCTCATCCTCACTGGCTCTTTCCCTCCCACCTTTTCCCAAATTACACATCTAATATCTGGAAAACAAACTTTTCTTCTTTCATAGGTCTCTCTTTCTCCTTCTCCTTCCCCTCTCTGAGCTTTTCCAAAGCTGCATCTACACTCAGCTGCCTTGAATTCTTTGTCTCCTAATGTCTTACCAACTATTCAGCCAATTCGTGATAGCTCTACTCTTAACACAACTCCATTAAAAAAAACCTTTTGCAAAAGTCACCAACGCCCACTTGGTTGACAATTGCAGGTCCATCTTTTCTTTTCCCACTTGAGCGCTTGGCTTTACTTAATACCATTAACCAGTACCCCCTTGATTTGGCTTTTTCACTGCCTATATATCACTCTTGTTTCTGGTACTAGGCACAGCTTTTCTCTTTTCTGTCCCTCTTTCGGGTCTGTTTTCCATTTCTGTCTAAAATGGGCAAGTTGTCCATCATATAGATGCAGCCACTGAATTTCTGACTTTCTTCACAGCCAGCATTTTGCAATCCTTACTTTGGCTCCCCTGATTATTTCACTGCCTTTGGGGTTTCTTTTGTTCTCTAATGGACATACCCATGCCCTCTTCCACATTCTCCTGTTGCAGTCTTTCTGCCTTACTTACTAGCCTAGTAGTTTAGTGTTTTTCATATGACCTTATTAAGAGCTCACCAGTAAACATATATTACTTTCATAATGGAAAAAAAAAACTTTTTATAAGGATTATAGGGGTAAAGTTTTTCTCTTTTCAAAGCCTAGGAAAGGGTAAGAGAAAGGGATTGGTAATGAAGGGATATCTTTTGAGGTAAAATCATATGTCAGTATAAAAAATTTCACCTGTATTAGCTTTTGCCTAAAAACCTTAAAGCACTTTATCATCATTTTATACTACTACTCACTATATTAGTATTTTTAAATGTTATAATAGGATAGGGTCTCTTGTAACAGGATAATTGTCTTATTTGGTTTTATAGTATTACAGATTCATGTGCATTTCATTAAGGAATAAATAGTAGTTGTCCATCATGTAGATCCAATTAGATGTTAGGGCTATTAGAACCCTGTAAGATCTGTTGATATGAATTGTACCTTACATTTTGTGATCAGATTTTGTGATTATTTTGGAGGAACATAATATGGCCCCCAAATCATTTCAGCTTTGTGTCATTAAAAAGATGATGATGTTATAGAAAGCAACAGTTATTTTTAAAATACACCCTGTCTTCTATTTTGATTTTTCCTAATTAGTAAGGTTTGTGCTGATGGCATTAGCGGTCACATTTTAGAATTGGTTTAGGCATTGCAAGCAAAATCTCCTTATTGCAGTTTTAAAGTGTTTTCAATAAACAATCATAGTCAAAATATTATACTGGGCTTATTAGCCTGTCTTTTCCATTTGTATATTGGTAATAAAAATGAATAAAATCTGTTTTTTCTTTCCCTTCTAATAGAGTTCCTTTTAGATAAGTGGGTGATGGATATTTCCAAGGCCTGGAATCTTTTTTTACATAAATGTACACAGCTCTGCATTCATTGGGAAAAGTGTTAATGTCTAGTGACAGATGGTGCTTTGAAGTTGGACACCTGGTGTACTAAAGACTGAATGTACTGCCTCTAGTGCATTAATGTTCATTGATTTAAAGAGCTAGATTTTTAAGAATATGAAAGGTTACCTAAAAAGAGATTGTGCACTGGTACTGACAGCAGACTGCTGCTTGGTGATTCAGAAAATAGTAAATGTTTACTTTTTCTTTCCAGTTGCTGTCATCCTCCCCTAATCGTATCCCTAGTAGCAGGCTGCATCAAATCAAAAGGGTAAATTTTACTTACTTGCTCAGATCTGTGATTTTCTGATTTTAACATTTTGATTTTATTTGGATTTTGAAGATTCATGCATTATAAAATGAGTCAGGCTGCAACTCTGGTTAGTTGTAGACATTACAATTTTGAGTATTCAGATAGAAGACAGATGTGGCCTGGGTAGCAGTCTTAGAATGTTATTTCTGCTGTACTATAATTATGTCAAATAAGGTAGAAAAGTCTTTTTTATTTTCTTTGAAATAGAGAATTGTGTAGATAAATATTATGTTTTCAGCGTATGTTTGTCTTTGCAGGAGGAAGGCATGGATGTGATGAACAAAGAAGCTGCGCATGAAAGGTTTGTGCTTCATGAGAACAGGGCATAGCCTAATGTGTGTCTATTTATGGACACTGATGGCCTTTCATTTTTGTTTGTTTTAGGGCAGTGCAAACAGCCATGCAGATAAGCCAATCATGGGATGAGAGCTTGAACCTGGTAAAGTTTTCTCATGTTTGCTTGCTTTTTATTTTCCAGAAAACTTTATATTGATCATTGGCTTCATTAATTTTTTCATATACTCTGTCCCTTCTGTTTTCAAATTTGTATTCAGTTTTTGAACTCTGCTTTTCCACCAGAATATTTGATTGCAACTTTTTTAGAGCCTATATGTTTCTACTGTAAAAACGTAGGCATGTTTAAGTAGTAAAGAAGAGTTGAGATGTGCTGAGTTGTACATTATGAGGAAATAACACTTTATGTTTACAGAGTGATAGTGATTTTGACAAGCCAGAGAAATTATATTCTCCTAAAAGGATCGACTTCACCCCAGTTTCTCCGGCACCATCACCCACCAAAGGATTTGGAAAGGTAGGCTCATTGGCAAGATGTTAACTCTATTTCATACATTGAGCTGTTTACTCTTTAGAACACAGACACACACAAATCACCTCACTTTAAAAGGATCCAATAACTAGAAGGAAAACTGACAAGTCTATGATAGTAATTTGAAAAAAATCTGTCTGTCTCTGTATTTTCTCATATATGTATATATGAGAGATCCGGACAGCTAAGCAGTTCTAAGGATGTTGTTTCTGTCATTTTGAGAAGAACCTTTTGAAAACTGAAGCATTACAACTGTTTTAATATTAAGTATGTTTTTTCTAGCAATGTTTTTCGCCATCCTTACAAATGTCTGTGAACAGCAGTGGGCTGCCACCAAATCCCATTCCTAATCCAAGACACTTTTCCAGGTAAGTGAACCTACTTTGTATATGTGATTGAATTACTTCTCGTTAAATTTGTCTCTCCAGTCAACTTTTGTCCCAACACTTTATTATGGAAGTTTTCAAACAGACAGCAAAATTGAAAGAATTTACAGTGAATATCCATATACCTATCACCTATATTCTACCATTAATATTTTACCAGATTCATTTTTTTTGAGACTTAGTGCCGGTTTACATTCAGAGGACACACAAGATAATATATGCTTTATAAGGATAAGGAAAAACTTTGTTTAAGATTGTAGAACAGACAAATCCAAATACCTTTGTAATAAGGTTTGTCTTAAAAAATTGTTATGGATATGTTGTTTTATAGAATGATTTTAAAAATAGCTTAAAATGCCATGTTATTCCCGGTTGCCATTTGCCAGGTCAGATCATGTTTTGGCATTTCAGTTGCTCAACCTACCACACAGGCATTTTCCATTTTTCCCTTTATGACTGTCAATTTTATCGATTTATTTGGTGGGCTGTAATGTTTATCTTGCATCTTAGAAGTATTTCTCATCATCCTGTTTATTCTTTGAAGCAGGAGGAGTCAGAGTCCAGTCAAGTGCATTAGGCCCAGTGTTCTTGGTCCTCTCAAAAGAAAAGGTAAGCCTCACACTTTTGATATTAAACCTAGTTGAGCTTGAATTACAAATTAGATTTTGTCTGAAATTAGTTCAAGGCATGACTTCTTTTTCTAAAGAAATGTGGAAATTCTTCCCAATATATGCTTTACTGATGTTAAATTTTGTAAATCAGTTATTTGATACTGTCTATATTTTTTATGCTTCATACCTGAATCTTACTCATATATTCATATTATCAATGTATATTCCAAAAAATTTTTCTCCCTTATTATTATTATTATTATTTTTTAATAAAATGCTGAAGTGGTAGGTAGATGCAAGACAAAGGTAGAAAACATAGTTTAGTGCTGTAACAGGGCAAATGTAGATGATCAGGTGTGTGCCTGTAGACTAAGTGTTAATCCAAGCTAGACAAGGGCAATAAAACATCCACGGATGCAGAAGATTTCTCTCAAAACAGGGGGGGTGAGGTTCTAAGCCTCACCTCTGTTGATCCCCAATTTCTCCCCTGATGGCCCCCCTGCGACTGTGCCTGTCTTAGGTTGTTCCTCCCTTGAGGAATCTTACCCATCTCTGGCTAACCAGTCTGGATGTCATTTTAAACAATAATTTTAACCATATTTTTAAAAAAGTAATTCAGTTAGTGGTTTCTTCCTACAGATAGTGTTTGGGGTCAGAAAACAAATCAGGTCTCCTAATATTAGGTAACAGATACTTGTGGCTCTTTTGAGAACTTCCCAGTGATAGCATCATACAGACATTCAAAAAGTGCTGTATTTCAGACAACTTAAAATTAAAGATGGTGTGTTCTGGAAAATAGATCCTGATACAGTAATGATACTTGTATTTAGTGAATATGTTTTGTTTTATAGACCAATAGTCTTTTTCTGTATGCTGCAAGAAATTACTTACAGTCCAAAGAACCTTCACAGGAGCTAGTACATGAAAATAACACTTGGAGATTAAAGCTTTTATTGTTATTGTTACTACTGATTGTAAGTATGTTGGAGGAAGTTGGAATTAGTATGTTGTTCAGTTTCAAAGCTATTCCAAAATATACCAGCAGATGGAGGGATTCTTTGCTAAAAAGAGGTAAAGTCTTTTGTTAATTAGGTGTTATTGAAAGCCTGACAGCAGCTTTTGAAGGCTGCATATTAAAGCCCGGAAAAAGGCAAATAAAAATAGAGCCTTTCCTGAGTTTCAGTAATTTTCAGAGTAGCTTTACAGGAAAGATAATATGAAGTAATTGTTAATGTGGAAATAATGAATGTTGCATTTTTCTTGCTTGATCTTTTTTCCGTCATAATTGTGTACAGGTTTAAGTTCATAGTTACTAATTTCCTACTGGAGTATAGCAAGCCCCTGAATTAAATTTTCTTTAATATTCCATGTCAAAGCTCAGATAAAGAGCTTCAAAACCAAAGTATGTGTGTCTTTTAAATCATAGCTTACTTTTCTGTCTAATTTAGGGTTGTTAGTCTTTGCATTCCTGGTGGCAAAATGTTAACCATTGGTCGTACTGGTGCAAAGTTTTTCTGTTACCTATTCTTAGAAAATCTCTTAAGATTGAGGTAGCCAGTACAATACTAGTTTTGTAAAGTGATTAATAATTGCTTTCAACGACAGATGAGCATTCAAACTTACTTTTTAGTTTTCATTTTCACTAAGTAGTCTAATGTAACCTTTGATTTATACACTGTTTATCAGACTACATACTATTTAACCCTTTTGACTTCAACTCAGGAAACGTTCCAATATTAAAATATGTAAAATCAACAGTTTTTACTAACTGACTAGGATAAATTATTATTCACTCTGAGCTCCAGCTGTTTGGGGATATTGTATTTCTACTGTGGTTAGCCTTGATTCATTTTGCCTGATAGAGTCAGTATTCTCCTTTTCTATTAAAGAACATGACTATATCCATAACATGTAGCGTATAATAAATTAGAAGTTTTTTTTGAAGGGCTGCTGATTTTTTGGTTGAAGTTACATGGAAGTTTATTTCTTCTACCTTAAAGCACATGGAAAAAATAGCTCTCAAATAATGGCTTGAAGAAGCAGTCTGAGCTTTGGCTAAACAAAGCTCATCCACTTTAGAATCAAGCCTGTAAGTGTAAAATTGTTTTACAGTGGCATCTCTTTCTGTTTTAGGTGAAATGGAGACAGAAAGCCAGCCCAAGAGGCTTTTCCAAGGTGCTACCAATATGCTGTCTCCAGAGGCTGCACAACTATCTCATCTCAGTTCATGGTAAAAAATGAAATAAAATCAAAAGACTGGTAGGGTATGATCTATTTAAAGAGCCACATCAAAAGTATATTGCGATCATTTAAAATATATTCAACTTTTTAATCCACACTCTCTAGAGGGGAAATCTCCATGGAGGTGCAGATAATGTGAAAAACAAATCACTTGAAACTCATGAGTACTTCCTTTGGAAAAGTGTGTATGTCCTTGGCACCTTCACCTTCATTCCTAGCCCCTGTTAGGTTGGCCTCTCTCAGTAGGTGCTATGGTGTGAGAGTGGCAACAGCTGGATGGTGTGAGAAAGAGTTTCTGGGTTGCTGTGGGTAATGTGCATTGATTATAGCTACTCTGCCTACATTTTTTATTAATATCTTTTTGACTTAGCAGAGAGTACCAGCATTCTCTTAAGCATGGCATTTTCTAAATAGTATTTTCTGTTGCTTTAAGATCTTTTTGAAAATTTTGGGATATTCCAAATAAAGGATCCAATAACTAGAAGGAAAAGATTTCCTTTTTGTAAGAACACTTCCTGATTCCCTTGGTCCACTTACATATATTTCTGTTCATTAGTCTTACCCATCCAGGTTTAGGTGTCTAATTTAAGGCCCTTCAGTGGTTCTGTGCAAAAGTTAACTTCTTTTCCTGTACCTGATGTTGAGCACTTTGGATGGTGACACATATTGGAAGGAAGGGGAAGGGAGAGTAGCAGTGTCTGAGGTAATATTTTGTAATCTTTCAGTACGTATTTCTAATCAACTCACTGAGCACCTGTGTTCTAGATACAATTGAATAGTGCCTTTCAGAGCTTTTTGTTCCCTGAATTTTACAACCGAGGGTCTTTTTTAAGAGCTTAAGAGGACATTTACTTTAAAAATAAAATTCTCCTATAAATGGGAGAATTATGTAAGCCATTTATAAGGCATTAGGATTGATGATTTCTTCTTCCCAAATAACTTATTCATTGATATATGTAAGATAATCTGTGCTTCTAGTTGACCAAGAAGTCACAGATTATTCTAGTTATTAGACTCATTGATTAGTACTATTCTAACCTTGAAACAGATGCCTTTTAGATTGTTCTAGCTATTTTCAGCTGCACAGTCTCTGCTCTCTCATCCCTGTCCTTGATAGCTCATTGCGCTAATTTTGGTACGGAGTGCTTTTCCAGGTATGTAGATGATTGCAAAGAGAAAACTTCTAAAGCTTGTCAAGAGGGATAGTGGATGAAACTCTATACTTAGTGGAAACTGCATATCACATTTATGGTAAAGTGTGTTTTAATATAGGCACATGACATTATAAATAGATTTGCTTACCCAGTTACTAACCAAGTAACCAAGTTAGGTAAAAGATATGAAGGCATTTTGTCAAGTGAAAAGCATTCAGGTTGAAGTGATTTTTTGAAAAATAGTCTGGTAGACTGACTGCAGGATGCCATAAACCAGGTTCATGTGAATAAGTAAGAAAGGAAAGAAAAGGCATGGTATTTTCCAAGGGTCCTCTCCCCTTGTTCAGGTGATCATTCCTCTGAGCAGCACAGCCTAAGCTGTCGATGATGGTGGCTATTGTGAGGCGTTTATTTCTGTTGCCGCCACTCCCTTCTCTGTAGACCTGCTACTGCCCATGGTGATCAAGGGCACTTTGATCTGTAAACACACACAGACACAAAAAAAAGTGTTGCCTGGAGAGATTTGCTTTGTTTATGGCCACTCAGGGCCAACACATGGCTCAAATCATATGTTAAAAAGAACTTAATTTTCAAAATTCACAAAACCAAGTGGTAAGGATATTTAAGTAATTAAACTTTAAATGACTTCTCACTAAGTTTGCTGCATCTGGAATTCTGAGGATATTAAAGCTTAAAATTGCACTAAGACTTTTGGAATACCTTGTATACTAATATTGCTGACACTTACTATCTACCGGGAAGAGATTTTAAAATGTGAGTCATTCGTGATATGTAAAAATTGGATCCCACTTTTGCAAAAGTTTTTTTCCTATCTCTTTAAATGCAGTTTCATTGACCAGATATCCATATTCTTTGAAATGGGATTGGTGACAGGAACAAGCTGTGTTCTGGTTTCTGTTGGCAAGGACAGCAATCTACATGATAGCTGAGGAAATAATTTTTATACATTTTAGGGAGCAGAAAAGGCATCAGTCGTATCACGAGTAGATATTATCTTATCATTTAAATCGTTAGTTTGTTCCCTGACCTACCCCACAAAGAAAAGTTGGGTTTTAAGACTTTATAAAGTTTATATATTAGATGATATATAAACATTCTGACATCTTTGAACTATAAATGAAACGTGAAGTTCAAGTATGGACCCATTTGGACTTTGCGTCCAGTGTGCCAGCACTGCCCAAAGGAATAGTAGGTCTCTCTTTTTTTTTTGGCTTCCTCTTTACATCGTATTTTTAATAAATGAAAGTTTTGAATCTTTGCCAACCAAATCTGGGGAACATTGTCAACCACAAGGCAGGGGTTAGATCATTCTGCATTTAGTCCTTAGGAACATCAAGAGTTTGATCATAGTTCGGCAGTACACCTTTGCATGGTGCTTTGATTCTCTTTGCATGTTGGCAACTCTTGTTCTGCTCCTCATTCTTTTGGGAATCAGACTGTCTGTGGTATGCTATACAAAGTAAAGGACTTTTCCGAGCTACTGGCCATGTAGTGAAGATGAAATGGTAGTCTATTTCTCCGACAGAAAAGGAAAAAGTCTCCCATGAAATTTCTTGCCCAGTGCATCATTGTTAACATGACTGCTAATTTAACCTTTATGGTTTTAACATTTTCCATTAGATTTACCTTAGTGGCTTTAACTTTATTTTTCATGTTATATATGTCATGGCAAGAAAATTTTATTATGAATATGTGATGTAAGATTTAGGATAAGATTTAATTGGGATTTATTTAATAACAGAAATGTATAACATATACTTGGAAGGTTTTTATGTGACATCTGTGATGATACTTTTAAACTCCTATCTCTAAGGTGCCTGGAAATGATATTTAAATCTGTGATCTTAAAAACTTAGAGGTTAAATGGAAAGTTAATGCTGGGTCTTCCTAAAGTAGGTAGGAGAGACCAGAGAAGATACCATAGGGACTAGTTTAACCCACACTAAGAGGTTTTACCATGCCCCGTGGTCTTACCTTATACTGTAATCTGTGCTGGGGTTGATAGGGCCATGGCTAATTTCTAGTGCATTTACCTGCCTGCCATTCATCTGTAGGATCCAATTTATTGATTCCACAAGGAACAGAGTGGCTCAAGCAGATGGGTGATAGCATGAGTCACACTGAACGTCCTAATTTTATTGTTAGGTTATCATTTGAATGTTTTAATGGTTCTCTTCTACATAGTTTTTTAAGACAGAGGGCACTACTTTAACTGTCATAAGCATGTTTGGTAGTGTGGTTCAAATATTGCCTCGATATTTATGTTCAGTAGTTGGAATGAATTAGTTCACTTCTGATTCATGTACTCCTGTGTCCAATTTGAATTGTCTAGGTGCTTTGCCTTCCTGCCATTGTCTGTCTTTCAGTAATTAGTCTTAAGGCTCATTAACACTTCCATCAGAGCTTAAGCTAGGAAAGAAAGATGAGCGAAACTCAAGTTGGACCGTGTTTTGTTGCTTTTGGAAGTCCTGGTAGAAGGTTAATAGTGGATACTGTGAAAATCACTTTTGTTCAGTGATCTCTCTGTGGATTAAAAAATCATGTAATTCTTGCTTTTCCCTGATATACTAATGGTGGGTAATTTGTGACCTATAGTCTTTGCTTCCATGACCATGTGTAGTAGTGCCAGATTAATTAGAATAGAAACTAGATTTTAGTTTAGTGAAAATATCTGGTTAGATGTTTACCAAATTCTGAACCTAAATTGCACTGGAGACTAAATAAAAGTATACTGTTTTTCTGTTAATGAACAAAATTGCATATATGTTTATATTTCATAACAGAAGAAATTCTTGAAAAAAATGTGAAATGAAATGTTCAGATTTATATGTATATTTTTTGGTAACTTCCCCATTAGCTTATTTCTCTTAAGGTTATCAACAGTGTGGAATGACAGATTTCTCTGCATGAGTCATGTTCTGTGTTTTTGAATGAATACAAGATTCACCTAAGCAAGCAGGTCTTATTACAAATGGAGTCTTTTAACCCAGGGCTCACCATAAGTCTGGTGATTGGAATAAGAAAGTCTTTATTTATATTCAGATTATCTGCTTGCTGGCCAAATTTTAATCTAAGCCTGTTTCTTCCTGCCAAGTACCACAGAGCATGTCCTTTGGCTGCCCAGCCAGTATGTGCTTTAGGAAAGTAAATTCATTTTAATATTAGTCTAGGCAAAATGCTGCAAGCAGGAAAAATCACATATGTTCCAAAGGCAAATAGAAAGGTCTTTTGATTTTCCAATGTCTTAGATTATCTGTACAACTTTCTTTCAGTAGTTTGAATAATTCATATTTTAGACCCATTTTACCATTTGGTTGAACAAATATGAGAGCCAGCAAAATTTTCCAAACTTCTTGCTTAAAAAAGTATTATTAACGATGCATTTGACAGCAGTGAGCATAAAGTAGGAGTACTGTGGACTATACCATTTCCGTTTTCATTTTTACTTTTCTGAAGCCTGTTTGTATTCTCCCTCTACCTAAAAACAATCCACAGTCAATATAAAGAAATGACATTTTGAAGAAAAATGTAGGAGTAGAGAAGCAGGGGGAGAAAGTTATATTTCATTGAGCATTGTACAGGGTACAGAAGCTTCCAAATGTCCATGCACTGCTTAACACCAGAACTGCATTGACTCGGACATTCATAAAAACGATAGTATTAAAGACTTATAATATTTAGCCTCAGAGCATGTTGGACCAGGACGGGCTTTTGCAAAATAGCTAGTGACCAAACTTAAACTAGAACCCAAATTTCCTGATTTCTAATTCCTTCTCCAATTTTGTGCTTTGTTCCCTTTTCAAAAGTAAAGTGTCTATGTAAATCCTAAAACTGCCTGAATGCCTGTCCAGCTTTGTCTCTCACTGTGTTGTTCTTAGTCTCTGTACGACATCCACAAAGCCTGCTTTTGGCTCTTAAAACTACTCCTGCTTCCTCCCAAACCAAACCTAGTTAATGCTTACTCATCTTTCAGATGACAGCTAAATAGCATTTTGGGGGAGCCTTGTTCCTCCACATCAGATTAGGTTACCCATGTTATATATTTCAGAGCCCCTTGTATCTTTCCTTTATTGCTTCGATCACAGATTATATGTTTTATTAACATGATTATTTAAATGTCTCCTGCACTACACTTTAAATTTGATGAGGGCGGGACCATGTTTGTCTTAATGCACCACTGTATTTTTACTCTCTAGCATACTTCGTGCACTTGGCAGGTACTCACCTACATATTAGAATAAATGAATGAGTGAATGAGTGAATTTGGGCCAAATATAGAGCATAGAGTTTATATGTTGGGTTGAAGGGAATCAAAGCCAGAAGGGCAGCCTGATGCCAAATTGTGAAGGCTCTTAATTGTGAATATTGATTCAGGATGTATGAATCAGGATGTATGAGGCAGGCTGGATTGATTGTTGGAGCCATGAGAGCCTGGGCTGGACGGGTAAGGTATCTGTGGGCTTGGATGACCAGATCAGGAGTTGTAGTGGAATAGGAGCAGAAGCTAGCTGTCTGGATCCAAGAGGCACATGGACTGTGAGGGTGTTGGGTCTAGATATAGAGCATTCCTTTTAGAGCTTAGCTGGGTAGTAAGTGAAGGGCTTGGAGAAAGGGGTCCTTTAGAGATAATAGGGGGCCCTTTGGGTTTGAAAGCAAGAAAAGAAAACAGTGTAAGAAATGCATAAAATGAGAAGAACATAAAAGGCAAATAATAGAGGGGAAAACTAGAAAAAATGTGTTTGCCCTGAAGGCCTCTTGGGAGTGGGGAAGTGGTAAAATCTCAAGCAGTTGAAAGACTTTGTTTTGGAGTAGAGGAACTGTGAAGCAGTGTACTTGATAGAATACTTGAGACAGTCCAGGGTTCCTCAGTGAATAAGCATTCCTCTCTAAGACTGCTGGGAAGGTAAGAAGATAAAATAAAAATAGAAATCTCTTGAGCTGAAGGTGAGGGAGCTCCGTCACGAAAATCCTGACATGTCCAGAGGAGAGTTTATTATATGCTGAACATTCTGGTGCCTCCAGGAGAGCGCTCAAATGATACAGAGCCTTGAATGTGTTACTTTGGATTTCTATGACTGCCTTTTTGCAGGTATCTGAATACAGTACCTTATGTAGTTCATTGCTGTTGCTTTTATGTTCTTTATGATTTACGAATGCTGTACTGATTCGTGAGTTCTTGAAACTATGTCGTTGCATGTTATGTTTACCTTTACCCTGATAGATGCATCTGCTTATAATTCTTTTTGCTTTGTCCTCAGTTCAGATATTTTGGATGGCAGTAGTAGCAGCAGTGGCTTATCCTCAGACTCACTGGCTAAAGGCAGCACAACCGCAGAGTCTCCAGTAGCATGCTCCAATTCATGCTCTCCGTTCATCTTGATGGATGATCTCTCACCCAAGTGACTTACCCATTTCTGATTCAGTGTTTTAACTGCTGTTTCCTACATAAAACGTTCAGTGAGGAACGCAGAGAACTTTGATCCATAATGAGGATTAAAGTGTTCCAGATTTAAACCATCTCGATGCCATTCTTTTTTGGCATCTGTCTTCTCTAAAGTTCAATTTGACAAGTGTAGTGACCTTACTTATGTCTCTTTGCTGATCTCATTTTGACTAAATCTCAAATATTCATTTTTGATCGCATAGAGTATATATATTTTTTCTCAGTGCCTCAAAGAGCACCTATTTTAGAGTCTGTACATTTAAGGAAAGAACTGATCCGTATTTTCCGTAATGTTTTTTTTCCCAGCAGTGATATGACAGCTTGAGTTGATCAGAAATTCTCTTGCTTGAGAGATGTTTTTGTTCTCTGTTGACTACATAGTTTCAGATCTCTTTATTTCACTGTAATAGGTAAACTGCTTTTGATTATATTAAATTCTTATTATTCTGCATCAGCTTCAAGTACATTATTTTGTTTCCCTTTCCTGTTTGAGCTGCTTACTCGCCATTCCTCACAGAGGGGAAGGAACATGCAGGTGCTTTCATTCCTATCCATATGGCTTCTTCGCTGTGGGAGAGTGCGACATGATGATTGGTTTTAGTGCTGAGAATGTAAATGCACTTACAGGATGCCTGGATGACTCACCACATGTTCTTATGACTTAGCTACCACAGTTGATGTTTTTCTCCCCAAAATTGTTGCCCTAAGGAATATATAAAATATTGTTAATGTTTCTAGGTGGTGTTATCAAGGAGAAGAAATTCCTGCCTTGACCAGATGTGTGGAGCATCTACAAATGAATGAATAATGTTATTTACACACAAATCACTGTGTAGAAAAGCATACATGGAGCATGACAGCTCGTCTTGGGCTGTATTATGAGGCCTGAGGTGCCTTGGGGTACAGAGCTGTGCTGTCAAGATATGTATCATCAGGTAGGGTAGAAGAGGAGGCTTTATGTGTCTGATTGCCGCATACTGTTCCGATTGCTGCTTTTCTCTGATTACTTTTTCTTCATTGGATTTGTTTGTTGTCTTTTGAGTGATGCTGCTGACTGTGTTTTGGTTATTGTGTTGCCACCAGAATCAGAATCCAGTTCTTGTTCATGCTGCCATATAGTAAGGGCAGTTAAATATCTACAAAGAAACTTTTAGGAGCTGATAAACTAATGTTACTGTGCATTCTGCTTTTATGAAGCTGTTTGAGCTATGAACAGTGTATATGATAGTAAATCTGAGGTAACGTAAGTTACTCAATTTTTAAAGGAGGAAAATCCTGATAGAGCTATATAAAAAACCGGAGTGTAATCTGTTGTTATTTATTATTTAAAACTGTGTAAACCTGTCTGTTGCAATAGATTTCTTTTAATATTCAGACATCGTGGTTGGATTGTGTTTAATATGCAAATTTACCTGCTAGGATCATAATATTCCGTTTTTAAATAAATGTAAGAAACGGAAACTACTGTGTTTGTGTCTTTTGAAAGCAGAGATTCTTGTATTTTTGAGAAAGGTGATGTGCTTTGAGAGTACTCACAGAGTAGTAATACCATATGGCTTGAAGGGAAACCTCTGAATTATAGGAGAGCATCACTTAGCTTGCAGTAAGCAGTCCTGTTACAGCATCAGATGCGTTTAGTTTAAATGGTAATAACTGCCATAATGGCCATTAATGGCTTTATTTCTCATATTGCTTTCACCTGTGCAAACTCCATAATCCTTCAAACACAACATAAATGTATATATTATGAAGACTGTTCCCTAGTATGCCATTTTAGAGAAAAATTACTTCAATGGTATTCAGTGTATTTATTCTGTTTGTGAAAGAACCATGTTAAGATGTTCTGCCTTTATAATACTTGAGAGAGATGTTTTTATCTTACAGGATATTTATCCACCCTTCACTCCACTGTTGTCTTTGCCTTAAAGGCATACCTTTGGCCATCACTTTTTGGCTCTAATTTAGAACTCATAAGATATAAACCTCTGGAATGTGACATTTACATTTATTTTTGAAGTTCAGTGGAAGGGTAGAATTGGGACAGGAAAATGAAATTGTTCCAGTCCTATGAGAACTAGAAGACCAGATGGTTCACTTCATTGTTTAAACCAAGGTTCGTTTTTATTGTTTAAATTGACTAGAAAGTTAAGTTTGTGCAGCGATTGTTTTGGAATAAAAGAGATGCTAACCTCCAGATGAGCTTTCTTGACAGTACCCCTTTATTTTTATATAAAGTCTCATACTTGAAAAGTGATCATTGTTATAAAGTAAAATCCTCTCTTCCTGTTCTAATATTGTATTGTATTTCAGGCTTCTGTTTCAAAACAAGTATAAGAGATGATATGATAAAATCCTATAGATGCTCTTTTTCTTGACTGACTCATGTAATCACTGTGTTTCATGATAACTACTTTTGGAATAATAGGAAGTTTTGTGAAATGCTGAGCTTATGTATCTCTTAGAATGCAAATTTAATAAAGTGTGTACACATGCAAAATATTCTGTAAAATTTTTTAAAGTCATTTTATCCTTATTAAGAATTATTTTCTGCCTCCATATCCCAATATTACATTTCTCTGTTTCTAATTACAGTTGAATTTTGAGTAAAGGGATATCAGGAACACAAAAGAACTAATAGCTGTATTGAAGTTTGGGCAGTTTCCCAAAACAAAGAGAAACCTCTCCACGTAATCTGTCAAATTTTCAAGAGCATTTATTAGAATTTGACAATTTAGAAGGTTCTTGCCAAGGCCACACATACTTCTTATTTTCAGTGTGTTTCATCTTGTTATTTTTTTTACATATTCATTAGACTAAAACTGTTTTGGAACAAGATTGGGGGCTAGACAGGCAAAAAATAAAAGCCTTTTATGCATGACTTAGATTGCAAATGCTCAACTTTCTTTCAGTACTTAAAAAAACATATGAACTGTTTTCACATTTGCAGAAAAGTTGCAAGAATAGCCTAAAGAGCTATATATCCTTCACCCATGTTCCCCAATTTGCTTTATCATTTTCTCTCTCTCTGTTTCTCTCTAGTATGTGTGTATGCACACACATATTTTTTCTGAACCATCTGAGAATAAGTTTTAGACATAATACCCTATTATCCTTAAATGCTTCAGTGTAAATTTATTGAAGATGTGGACATTGACATAACCACATTACAGCTATCAAAATCCAGAAACTAACTTTGATATAAAACTGTCATTTCATCTGTTGACCCCATTCAAATTTTGCCTATGGTTCCAAAAAAGCTCTTTTAGGGAAAGGGAAAAATAACTTGACTTCAGCCTGGATTCAATCCAGGATTATATACACTTAGTTGTTATCTGTCTTTGGTCTCCCTCAACCTGTAAGTCCCTAGCCTTGTCTTTTTGTGATCTTCATAACTATTGGCCAGTTATTTTGAAAAGTGTCCTTCAATTTAGGTTTGACTGGTGTTTCCTTATTAAATTCAAGCTGTACGTTTTTAGCAGAAACAACACAGAAGCAATGCTGTGTTCTCAATGTGTCATTTTCAGGGGGCCACATTGTGTCACTGTCCGTCTAGTTACTAATGATGGTGACCATGGTCTTTTGTTTAAGGTGGTGTCTGCCATGTTTCTCTGCAGTGTTTTCCCTTTGAAATTAATAGGATATTTTGTATGGCAATGCTTTGAGAGTATGTAAATTGTCTGTTTCCTCATCATACTCCCTAGTTTCAGTATCCATTGATCTTTTTTGCCTGATGGCATGTTTACCTAATAGTGACTCCAATTCTGTCATTGCTTCTGCACTTACTGGTTGGCCTTCTACTGTAAAGAAGAAATTTCCTTTCTCTGCCATTTATTTGCATCAGCGTGGACTCATAGACTCCTACTTCAGTGGGGTGTAATCCATTGTCATAATTATTTTGATATTCACATCTCAGATTTGGACAGTGAGAACCTCTCCAAGCTGTGTCCTTTTAGCAAATCCCAGTAATTTTTTATGTTTTAATTTCTGATGTAAGATGTCCCAGATTCATACATTTTTGCCACAGCCATGGAATTAGCCATTTCTCTAGAGTCCTGATTCCTTTTAATGGGGAATGGTATTTCAAAACCAAGCTTTAGGCACTAGGTATAATCATTGCTCCTGGGGCATCATGGCTTAATGCTCTTCTCAGCACAGAGAAAATACATGTAGATGTATATTTATGTGTGCATACATATCTATGTCTGTTCATCTATGAAAAATCATGAGTTCAACCTGGAACCTCCAATTCCAGTTTAACACCACAGTGTTCATTCCAGCATCCACCCTATCCTATCTTTCTCTGACAGAGCCGCCCGCCTCCATTTATCCCCAATATAATGCTCATTTCCCTTATATATAACCAATTTCTGATCCTGCCACCTTGGTTGCCTCTTCAGCTCCAGCCATCTCCTTGGCTGTGACCCTGATACCTCTCCAGCCCTGCCAGCCTCAGACTGCCTCTAGAAAAGAGAAAGGGACAAGGCACTAACCATTCAAGTTTTAAATATCTGGCTCATGTCCAGCCCAGCCACCACCCACAAGCCCCCTCTTCCTCTGTGTTTAACTGTTCACAACTCAGGGATTTCTTATGTACATCAGTTTAACAAATATTTAGCTCCCAGGAGTTCTGGAATGTTCTATGTTGATGTGGGTGATGGTTTATGGGTTCATTTTTAGCAACCGTATGGTATTCCCTTGTATGAACATTCCAGAATCTATTTAGCTAATCTTAATTGATGGTCATTTAGGTTCTTTATAATTTATTAGTATACAAACATTCCATAATTTATTTAACTAATCTTAATTGATGGTCATTTAGGTTCTTCATAATTTATCAGTATACACAAGTAATACCATTTATCTTTGCTTTCTTAAGTATTTCTGGAGGAGAGATTTTTAGAAGTGATAAATTGCTGGGTCAAAGGGTATGTGCATTTTATTCAATATTTTCTTTTTGAAAAGGTAATACAAGTTCAGTTTAAAAAATTCAAAGAGTAAAAAGGGCCTATAGGGGAAAGTCAGTTTTCCTTCTATTCTTGATCCCCAGTCCCATAAGGTCCTTCAAAAGCAACCAGTATTATTAGCTTCTGGTAGGTTCTTCCAGAGGTAGTCTACACATTGCATATGCATTTACGTATTTTATAGGCACTGCTTAAAGCCACACCTCCATCCCACCAAGATTGTACCAATTTATAATCTCACTAATAGGGCATGAGAATTCCCATTATCCACTAAGATGATTCAAGGATTCTGGAAAGATTTGAGTAAAAGAAATAGATTTTATTCATTCATTCATTCATTGGAAATACATTCATGTGTTTTCAAAACTCTACAGGTACAAAAGAGAAGACAGTGAAATGTCTCCCTCCCATCTTCATCCCCCAGCCACCATAGCTACTCTTTCCCAAAGCAATTGTGTTTTCAGTTTCCTGTGTGTCCTTAATAAAGTTTGCATATGCAAACAATCAATATTTTATTTTTCCCCAAATTTTACACAAACAATAGTATATTTGTATGTGCTGTTGCTGTGTAATCTCACCTTTCCCCCTAAAACCTTAGTGACTTAAAACAGTAATTGTTTATTCTAATAGAGTCTATGGGTAAGCTGTATGGTTTGACTGTTAAGGGCTGGGCTCAGGTCATCTCAGTTGATCAGTTGATGAGTCAGCCGGGGATCTGATGGTCTAGAATGGCTTCAGCTTGGGTTATTCTTCTCTACCCCACAGGGTCTTTCATCCTCCAGCTTGTTCTTATTGTGTCAGGGTTTCACAGTAAAAGAACACAAGGCCTCTGGAAGCCTAGGCTTGGACCTGGCACACCATAACTTCTGTTATATTTTATTGATTAAAGCAAGTTCCAAGGCTACCCAGATTCAAGGGATGTGAGAAGCTGCAAAGTCACATTGCAAGGGGTGTGGATTTAGAGAGGGGAACAGGTAGGATGATTTATTCCATCAAACAATGCTATAGGTATTGTTTTGTACCTTACCTTTTTTCCCTAACACTATCTTGGAGATGATGTTATATTGGTCCTCAAAAAGCCTCATTGTTTTTTTATTCCACTTTATTTTGCTAGTCCCTGTTGAGGGAGATTCTTATTTCTCCCAATCTTTTGCTATTATTTAACAATGCTGCAATAAATAACAATCCTATGTCAGGTAAATTCCTACATGTGAACTACTGGGTCAAAGGGTATAGGGTATTTGTAATTTTGATAGATAGTCCAAATTTAATTTGAAAACATCTTCCACTTTATATTTAGAAAAATGTGAAACCTGTAGAAGAGTTGAAGAATAGTTCAGTGAATGAATAGTTAAACAAAATAATATTTTCCCATATACCTGCCCAGCAAGATTAAAAAATTCACATTTTCCCACATTGGTTCTCTTTTTCTTGCTCCCTGTGTCTCCTCTATCTCCTCTCCTCTCTATATGTATATTTATTTAGACACACATTTTTATGAACCATTTGAAATAAGTTGCAGATATTAAGAGACCTTTTAGATACTTTTTCATTGTGTATTGCCTAAAACCAAGGGTGTTTGCCTACATAATAATTCTGTTAGCACACTATAGAAATTTAACATTGATAGAATAATATTTAAATCATAGTCCATATTCATATTTCCCAAATTGTCTGAATAATCTTCCTTAGAGCTTTTTTTTCAATCAAGAATCCAAAATTCAGCATCAAAGGTCATGCAAATTGATTTAGTTGTCATGTCTCTTTAGTTTCTTTAATATGGAACTGTCCCCTACTTTTTTTCATTTTTCATGAAATACTCATTTTGAAGAATCTGGGCCAGTTTTCTTGCATAACGTCCTGTAATTAGGATTTGTCAGATTGTTTCCTCGTGATTAGATTCAGTTAAACATTAGATTAAAAAACATTTTTGGCAAGAATACCATGTGGATGATTCCTCTTGCTTCACAGGAGGTACACAATGTTCATTGTCCCATGGTTGATGCCAAGTTTGATCCCTTGGTCAAGGTAGTGTTCTCCAGACTTCTCCACTGTAAAGGTGCCTTTTTCTCTTTGTAATTAACATTAAATTAATATTAGGAATGTAGGTGTGACTGTGTAAATGTTCTGTTCCCCAACGGCTTTCACCCAGTGGTTTTAGTATCCATCAGTGGTGCCTACCTGAATCAGTTTTTAAGACACTGCTGGGAAAGTGATATTTTCCCAGTTTTTAAGACGGTAGCTGCAAAATAATGTTTCCCTAATTCTGTCATTCCTTCCACATTTATTAGCTGGCATTCCTCTGTAAAGAAAGCTTCCCCCCTCCTTTTTGTATATCACTTCTAAGTCTTCTTTTTTAATTATTATTCAATGTGTTATAACCGGTTGCCATAATTGTACTGCTGCACGAACAGACAGATCAATGGAACAAAGCAGGAAGGTCAGAAGTAAATGCAAATATATATGGAAATTTAATATGTAATAAAGTTGGTATACCAAGATCACTGAGGCAAAGGTGGGCTTTTTAAT